AACCTAGATTAGTTCACATATGCCTTGACCAACGGCTCTATATTTTGACTCAACACTATTTCTCGAAATCACATTTTGTTTCTTGCTTCTCTAAGTAACTAGATTTCCCCATACGTATGTGCAGTAGCCTATTGTGGATGTTCTGTCTCCATGATCAGCTGCATAATCTTTATCTGTGAAGATTTCTATACTTGTTTTCTCAGATCTTCTGTATAGAATGCCCTTTCCAAGTATACCTTTTAGGTATCTCAAGATTTTATACACCACCTTGACGTGCTTTTCTTTAGGAGCTTAGGAGTGTTGATTGGCTACACTCCTAGTAAATGCAATATCTGGTCTAGTATGGGAAAGGTAAATTTGTTTCCCCACTAGTCTTTGATACTTGCCCTTATCAATATTGTTACCTTCATTTTCCTCTTTTTCTTCTTCGCTTTCCTCTTCATCTTCTTCCTTTTTGTCATTCTTCTTCTTCTCTCGGTTAGTTGTTACTTCAATTGGTGTGGAGCTAGGCTTGCAACCCATCATTCCTGTCTCCCTAAGAAGATCAAGTAAATATTTTCTTTGGGAGATGTAGATTCCCTTCTTGAATCGAGTCACCTCCATTCCAAGAAAATACTTCATTTCTCCTAAATCTTTTACTTGGAATTCTTTTGCCATTGCTACTTTTGTCTTATCTATCTCTTCATAATCATCTCCTATAAGGACTATATCATCTAATAGATGCTTAGGATGGTTTTCTTAGTTCCATGGTGTTTGAAGAATAATGTGTGATCATGTTGCCCCTGAGTATAGCCTTCGGTCTTGAGAACCTATGTAAATCGTTCAAACCATGCACGGGGTGATTGTTTCAACTCGTAAAGGAATTTTTTTTTTTTAATTTGCAGACCATTTTCGGTTTTCTAGTGAGGAATCCTGGAGGTTGCATCATATAGACTTCTTCTCTAAGGTCACCATTTAGGAATGCATTCTTTACATCTAGTTGGTAGATAGACCAGTCCAAATTTGCTACCAAAGACATTAGGATCCTCACAGTGTTGAGTTTAGCTACAAGAGCAAAGTTTTTTGTATAATCTGTACTGTAAACCTAGGAGAAGTCTTTTGCCACGAGTCTTGCTTTATACTTGTGTATTGTTCTATCATCTTTGTACTTTACTGTGAATACTCATTTACACCCTACTACCCTTTTTCCTTGCAAGAGAGCTACTTCTTCCCAGGTGGCATTCCTTTTTAGTGTATCAATTTCCTCCATTACTACTTTTTTCTAGCTTGGGGATTTGAGAGCTTCTTCAATATTTGTTGGGATCTTTATGTTGTCCAAGTTGCTAGTAAAGGCCAAGAACCGAGGAGAAAGAGCTTTGTAGGATTTATGTTTCTCAATGGGATGTTGAGTACAGCTTCACGGTTTCTTCCTTTGTGCTATAGGGATATCCAAATCAGATTCCATGCTTCTTGTAAGATCTATGGTGCCGTTTGGTACGAAGCATTAAAAATGAGGGATTGAGATTGTGATTGCAATTGAAAAAATCATTAAAATAATATTTAGTATGAGTAATTGTTTATTATGTAGGATTAGGCAAACCCATAAAACTGAGATTGGGGAATACCATTTCTCCCCATAGTATTCTCCAATCCCACATATATGGGTTTGTCTAATTCTATATAACAACCAATCTCTTATATTAAACATTCTTTTGATAAATTTTCTTAATTGCAATCTCAATCCTAATATCTCATTTTCAATGCTTCCTACCAAACACAACCTATATTTCTTGCTTGTTCATCAACACTAATAGCATTAGATTTATCAGTTTTAGGAACTATCATCTGTTCAGATGCATGGGGTGTATCAGGAATTACTGTCTTGTCTGTACTTTTATTTCTTCTCTTGTACATCCCGTCAAAGTTCTTTTGTTTTTGTTTTTGTTTTTTTTCTCCCCCTCATTGGGATTCACCTTTGTTTTAAGAGTAATGGGAGGTTCATACTCCACGTAAGGATAGGTTTCAAATGCATTTTTAAAAGCCTTCAATTCCTCCCAACTCTCCCCCTGAATTGAAGACTACGAGTAAAAAAGTTCAGGCTCATTGAAGGTGACATCACAGCTAAAGTATAGTTTTCTTGTAAGAGGGTTATAGCATTTATACCTTTTGTGTGAAGACAAATGCTCGAGAAAAATGCATTTAACTGCTCGAGGATCAAGTTTACCTTACTGATGGAGGTTAAAAAAAATAGAGCACCCAAACACTTTAAGGAGAAGATTATTTTCAAGATAAGGGACATAATGCGTTTTATGGAGGACCTCAAAAGGAGTTTGGAAGGAGAGAACTTTACTGGGCTTTCTATTAATGAGGAATGTCATAGAAAGGATGGCATCACTCAGTAAAATTTGGGGACATTATGAGTAAAGAGAACAGCATGATGACTTCTAGAATATGATGATTCTTGCGTTCGGCAATTCCCTTTTTTGGCGCTGTGAGGACATGAGCTTTTATGAATAATGCCATTGGTTTGAAAGAATTGAGCAAAGTAGTGAATGATATATTTTGTACCATTTTCTGTATGAAAGATCTTAATAGAGGTATTAAACTGATTTTTAATCATGCGGTAAAAATTTACAAAAACACAGTAAACTTCAGTTTTTTCTTAGTAAATAAGTTTAGCAAAGTCGAGTGGTGATCATCAACAAAGGTCACAAACTATTTGTGGTGAGTACACTCTGTAAGGCAACTAGACCCCTATAAATCACTGTGAATTGTAGTAAAAAGTGAGGAGGGTTGATAAATATTTTAGGAAAAAGTAACACAATGATGTTTGATAAGTTCACAAATTTCACAACATAGTTCAGAGATATTTTTGTTAAGAAAACTAGAAGGAAACATATTAATGAGATATGAAAAACTAGTTGACAAGTCCTGGAATAAGCAATGAGTGTCTTAAAAATCAGCATGACATTGTTTATCCTTTAGTAATTTAGTGCACAGAAATCAAATTACATTTTAATTTGAGAACATGTAAAACAGTGTGAAGGACAAGGTGTTTAGATACATGAATACCCCAGTGCCAGCAACACTGGATAAAGATGCATCAGCAATTTTGACTACCATCACAAGGCGTGTAAGAAATAAATAGATCATGATTAACGATCATATGATCGGAAGCACCAAAATCAATTATTCAACATTTACCAATGCACGAGCTTTGAATTGCATTCAAAGCGTGCAAAGAGTTACCTTGGTGTACTACACTAGCAGTTGGTTGTGAGCGTGATGATTGTCCAGAGGTTTGTAAAATACTAAGCATTTTAATTATTTTTGAGAGTTGATCATTTGTTGGGGAAGTAGTAGGTTTTGCTTCACTCCTTTCTATACCAATAGCATACCCACACCCTCCGCCCTTCATTGGTTTCCAATCAGCAGGTTTGCCGTGTATATCCCAACATGTATCTTTGGTATGCCCAGTCTTCTTACAATGCTCACAGATAGGCTTGAGTTTCTAGTTCTTACTCTCAGTATTGCGGGCAATCAAAGCAGAGGATTCGAGAGTATTGATTGCAGCTCCAGAAGGTGACATCATGATTCGCCGACGGAAATCTTCTCTCCGCACCAGCAAAAGCCTCACGAACAGAGGGCAAGGGAACTCGACTCAATAAATGATCCCTGATAGCATCAATTTCAGACTTAACACTGGCAAGAAACTCAAAGAGTCGTTCCTTTTCCACCTTCTTTTCGTACAGGGCAGCATCTTCGGTGTATTGCCATGTGTCATCGTTATGGAGATCAAGTTCCTGCCACAAAGTGATCATTATTAGATAGTAATCACTCAAGGTTCCAGTACCTTGCTTTAGTTACCAAAGTTTGGTTTTGAGTTCAAAGACTTGGGAGACCATCCGATTAAGCCTCCCTCACTGCTTCCCATATTTCATGTGCTGTCAGCAGAAACATGAAGCTCCGCTTGATGGACGGAATCATGGTGTTGATCAACCAGGAGGAGACCATGAAATTTTTGGTCTTACAGAGAAGCAAAGCTTGGGAGTTGGAAGACAGGGGACAACGAGCATCGCCGGTGAGGTAAATCAATTTGCCACAACCTTCAACAGAAAGTCATACAGATTGGGCCTACTCTTGATAGTTGTCTTCGGTGAGTCTCTCTAGGACGATCAAAACAGAGCTCCCTTCCATGCGAGATGTCGGACGGGATAGAAGGGATCCATGGGCTCCAAAGTCGACTTGCTCGACTCAATTTTGTGAAGAGATAGCGACATGGTAATCGTACAAAACTACTTGATGATAAATACCCACAGACGCTCAGATACCATGTGAGTATTTTGAGCAAAATATATTTTGTATTATTCTGATACAAGTCGAGAGTATGTACAGGGATATATAATGCTGATAAGCATCTATCCTAGGAAAGAAATCAACCAGTAATAAAGAGGAATAAAAGCCAAGAGTTGAGTAGTTGACTAAGATACAATGATAAAGAATTAAATAATAAAGAATCAAATAATATCCCTTTAAATCCCAGGCTTTTCGGTATTCCCACAATTTTGTTTGATATCCAAAGGTGATTCTCAACCCTTTACTCATGACAATTTTTACTTTCATTGATCTCGTTCTAATAGTTATTTAAAGATTACATAAGGCTATTTATTACCTTATATACCTCATCTATTACAGAACCTCATTTCAAATTCTGCTGATTATATGAGCTATCTGGTGTCAACTGATAGAGATCACATGCTGTTCAAGACCTGCATGTTAAAAAAGCATATAGAAATTTCTACATGGTCCAAGTTTCTTAAAATCAAATCAAAATTTTCGGAGATCTCTATCTAGCAGCTTTTCTTAAGTCGCTTTTATATAGTTTCAAGCCATGCGAAGCATAAAAAACATTACTGCCTACTGGAGCGTACTCGGCTTCATATCTCTACATTTTAATAGCAACTGATATTGCAGTAATTCCTATTTCCCACTAACTCAACAAAGTGCAAGGAGAGGATGAATTATGCTCTATATTTGAGAGGCTTGGGTTTTGTTTCTCTCTCAGCTTGATTGTTGGCAGACCTTCTAGCATTCACCACTTTTTCGACCATCTTACTTCCCCTTACATGAGTTCTACTTTCTCCACTGCCTGATACTGATCTTTCCTTGTGGTTTCTCCACTCTTTCTGGGTTCCCTCTGATTGCTTCTTACCATGGGACACACTACGGGATGGTGAACGTGATTGTCTACTTGCTCTAGGAGTGGTATCATGGTTCTGAAACCCAACTGTAGCCAATGTTGGGTTACTGATTCTTCCTCGAGTAGCAGATGTTGACCGATGATCTGTTCGTAGATTTGGTGGTGCCTTATCTGGGAATTCTTTTGTAATATGAGCTGCAACACTTGACCTCACGAAAGGTGAAATACCCCTACTTTTGAGCATCCTTTTTGGGTCATTCACTTCGTGGCTCTTTTTAAGGTTCAAAGCTATGGTATCAGCATCGCTACTTTGCTTCTGGTTGGTCGTTTTAACATTGGAAGCCGTAATAGCCATATGGAGTTTACTATTACTGTTGTTTTTGGTAGAGAGAATGCTTGATTCTTGCTCATTTGTGTTGTTCTTAACAATGCTAGGTCTCTGTCTATTATGACTGGGGATTGTTGATCTCGTGGAAAGTTTTGGTTTAGACGAGTTCATATGATTTGCTCTACCTTCACTTGTTTCTGGCTTTGAGGCCTCCAAATCACTCCCTGCAAACTGAATTTTAGACATGAACTTGATTAATATGACAACCATTTATGGGGAAAACCATTATTGAGGAACCTACGGTTTCCTTCAATTTTTAATTTGGCACCTGAGTTTTTCTCTCCATATTAAATCATTTAATTTTAATTTGTTAGCACAATTAGTTTTTGTATATGGTCTAACAATGCTAATAGGGTAAAGTTATAGGATTTAATTGTGCTAAAAGAGTAAAACTGAAAGATTGAATAAGAAGAAAAACATATAGATACTCGATTAAAATTAAAAGAAAATAGGTACCTTAAGAATGGTTTTCCATCATTTATGGAATGCAAGAGGAGTATTGCTTGGTTGACACATATTCTTTTTAATAATTCTATCTAGTAATTAAAACAATTAAACAGGCATACTAGAAAATAGATTCTCAGATGTCAAAACCTGTTACAAACTATTTATGAACAAGCCATTTTAAGCTTAGGCTACAAGGAAAACTTTGACACATGTTGCCTTTATGCATGTGATTGAAAGGGATAATTCTATATATCCAGGGTTTGAGCTATTTCACCATTACTTGCACTTTTAAGATTATCACTTTGATTATTTACTTATTAAAATGAAAAATCTCGAAACACATAAAACATTAACATGTTTAGCCTCTAGGGAGGTACAGCTCTCTATAGCATTACCTGTGAAATCAAAGAAAATTTGCGTAAAAAAAAAAAATAGCACGTATTGTAGAGTCTGAAAGACAAAAGATATCTCTTTAGAAGTTCTCAGGTAGAACAGGTCTTTCCTTTGTTATGCTCTCTAATCATGAAATCCAAAGCTAATAATCAAATTCCTCTATTTTGCTCAAATGTTACTCGTTTGATGATGGGTAGCAAAGAAGTTATGAATTTTTATGAAGGGTGGAAAATTCTGAACTCATGTTCTTTCTATATTTAAGTTTCATGACTTAGACAAAAGGCTGAGAGATATGAAGAAAGAGATAAATGACATACCCTTGAAAGAGGCTGTATGATTGGTAACTCCTTTTGAACAAGTTGAGGATCGGTAGGAGCACCTGGTTCCATTTCTAGAGATGGAAATAGAGGAGTTGCTGGTGGTGTTTTTAACCTGGTGTTTCACATGTTAATGGTAAAATTTTAAAATAAAAATAATGCTTATAAACAGAATGAAGTCAAATTCACGCTACAGTGCTGGGAAATTCCAAAGTAGATCAATTTTATTTATGGCAAGTAAATTAAGTCAATGATGACTACACATTTATGAGGCACTTTTCTGTCATAACACACTGTACAAGTAAAACTAGCATTCTTATTTGGATTGGACCCTATGGGGAAGAAAATAGATGGAGGAAATTGCAGCATATGCAGATAAAAGTATTCAGTTCTTGAGAAAATGTCAATGGATTTGTAATGTCAGAATCAAGATTAACTAGAATAGAAATAAAGCAAAGGGTTAAATTCTTTCTTCTAAGAGGTATCTATAGAAGTTATTGATTCCCAGCATATGGTAGAAGGATTTGATTTTTATAGGGCATACAATAAATTACCAACATATGATCACCATCCATGACAATGTTTACTGATATACTAGTATCTCCTTAGGAATCTCTCCTAGTATAATTCATTTGTCAAATACATATCCAAAAGACACCATGATTTCCTCATGCAGACATCTAAATATGCACACATACATACATATATTATGTACACATGGAAACAATGAGACATTACACTTACCAATCATAATCGTTTTTGTGGTTTTCTGTGAGAAACTCATAACTAGATTCCTTCTTCCCTGAAGGAATTCTGTAAAGCGGATACTTTCCTGCACAATATTTCCTGAATATCAAACACTACAATTCAAGCATATATTGAAGGTGGGAAGTAAAGAATGGATCAGTGCAGCCAAAAAGATTTTCTTCAAGAGCTAGTCAACCTACCCCTCGATAATCATGAACAATATCATTTTCTTACCCTCAAAATCTATATACTTTCATCCTCTCTCGTATGCTTTTTGACTGTATTGTTGCAGGAGCCTATACTTGTCTTAAAAGATCACTCAAATATCTTCAAGCGGTTCTCAACCTATCTCTCCGTAATTACAGTCTCACGTTATTTGATCCTGCAACATTTTTTTTACTCTGAAAATCTCTGTACTTTCTACTTTCTCATGAGCTTATTGACTTGATTGTTAATGAAGAGGGTGTCAAGCAATGTTCCCCAGAATCATAAATGGTATCAGTGATGAAGAAGAAGAAGAACAAGAAGCAAGGACACAAACTGTAGTTGCAGTCACCGTTTGAGTCACATTCATAGTCGTCCGAGGAAACAGGACGAAGGAGGCTTGAGTTTCGCTCATTCTCACGCTTCTGCTTCTGCAAATCTTTGAAAAGGATGAGATCGTCGTCCTTCTCCGTCCTCCCGTGAAACGGCATCATCTTAGCCATTCTCAATGATTCCTCCTTCCTCCTCCTATGTTGTAGTTCTTTAGATATATAAATATGGGAATCCATTGATGGGGGTCAAAGGAAAGTTAGAACAAGTGCCATTTGGAGCTTATGAGGCCGGCTGCTTCTTCCTAGTTTTGTTTTTCTTGTAATATTTATTACCAATACCAATAGCTGATGTTGATAGGGGTTTAGGTTTATGACTATTATATTACCAGTGAATCATATGATAATGATTATATATATGTGGACACACACGCACTAGGCAGATGAGTACTTTGGTGCATTAATGGTGGTGGGAATGATGCATGGTATGTGCAATACTCTATAATTCATTGTACCATAAATTTTAAAACTTTAGGACCCCAGTTTAGGTGATTTAGTTTATGGATTGATGGAATAAGATTACGCATGTATTCAACAAATCTTTATTCCAGGACACTTTAAATAAAAAAGATTATAATAGCAATTGATGAACAGATGTTACATCTCCTTAAGCTGGTCAGCGGTCGGTGTGAAGAATGCCCCTTGAGATCCTCGCAAGACCCAGGAGCAGTCTATGATGGTAATACTTTGAATTATTATACTTGTTTATTTATTTATCATTATTATTAACTATGAGCGATATGATGTTCTGATTAATAAAATATATTAATAGCTTGTCAAAAATTTTAATATCATTTTACATTTTTGCCTCATTAATTATTAGTCAGTCTCACTGCATTAATTATTCACTTAACATATTTTTAGGAGATCATTAATCTTTTGGTCCCTATAGTTTTATTTTTTTATAACTCAATTTTTATATTTTGATTTGAAACAATTCGGTTCTTGTAGTTTTGACTCGATTATAAATCAGCCTCTAAAATTTAACTCAACAACTTTGTCATGATACTTTTAACAATTTTGTAATTTAGCCCCTTGTTTTATTAGCCATATAATTTCATTTTCCTAAAACATAATGATTAAATTGTAAAATGGATAAAATTATAGGAATTGAGTTACAATGACTCAAATTTCAAGGATTGAATTACAACCAAATCAAAACTACAAGAACTAAGTTGTACTGAGTTAAAATATAATGACTGAGTTACAAACGAATTAAAACTATAGGGACTAAAAAATTAATTATTTAAGAAAATAAGTTGTAATTTATATATTATTTTTAAGTAATTTTAATGAACTTAATTTATACTATTTTAGTCCTATTTATAAGGCATTTTCAGTATTTTTTTACCGAATAAAAAAAAAAAATTTTAACTGTATTAACTCTTTATTAAAATATGACAACTTTCTAATTTTACTCCTATTTAATATATATATACATTTCAAAAAAATAATTATTTATAATATAATAAATGAATGACAAAATAGTACATTTATGCTAGATCTTTAAGAAAATAACTTACAAATAGAATAAAAAAAATGTTCTTTCTCTACTTTATAAAAAGATTAGAGGAGCATATTATAAGACTCCTGAGGGAGTAATAATTAAGAGGCTTGGAAGTCGGGACTCTAAAATTTACCATGCCATGTGGCGTTGCTCACAAAATGTGACTACTAAAAACAATGCTGAAGTTAACATGTTACTTGAAAGTTGAAAGTTGAAAGTTGAAACTTCTAAATTTTTTTTTGGCCGGAAAACTTCCAATTTTTTATTAAAAAAAAAGCCTATTGCTTGAGAATCACATTTTAATATTAAACGGGATAGATTTAAAAAAAAAAAAAAGACGGATAAGATGGGAAAAAGTACCGAGAAATAGACAAAATGGTAACAATAAACCAGTGCAGGCCTCGGGCCAACAAAAAAAAAAAAATCAACGACAATCTGCATTGAAAGGGCGACCGCATTTATAAATAATAGTAATAGTAATAATAAAGAGAACATCTGTTTTTGGTTTATTATAAAGAATTATTGTTCAGATTTAGAAATACAATATCTATTTTACATAATTTAAAATTTATATATTTATACTTATTATTTTTTCCCCTCACAAAAAAATTTCAGTAGATGATACATTCAGTTTTGGCGCGTCTTCACCCAAAGGGTGGCTCCATTTCGCGCCAAATTTTTCTTCGTCGAGCTGCTTCTTCCTCGGGCTCTCTTCCATGGCGCTGAGCTCTCCCCTCACTGCCGCTTCTCAGATGGCGAGCTTAGGGCTTCGTCCTCCCCAGTTCTCCGAGGTTAGAACACTTGTGATGCTTTATTCATTCATGTTTTTGGATCATCTGTCTTGCGCTGATTTAAAATCAACAGACAGCCGATTTTTCTTTCCCTCTTTTATTTTTTGTGCGAAGTGTGACCATGAATTGCGGTATAACTGTCGTCTTCTTCCTTGCTCTTTACATGTGATCAATTGTTGTTGATCTCCGATATTCTCGATCCTTGGGATTCGAACCTTAATTCCATTTGGAAGCACATTTCTTGTTCGAGCTCCAAAGCCGGAATCCTAAATTGATACCACGATAAAGAATCTTTAGTCTTTTAAATACCAAACTTCTTCCAAAGATTTGTTTTCCGGGGAAAAATGTGTCCATATGTGGTGTATGGTATATAAATGCTGAAGATTTTAATTTTTTGAGATCCATGAGTAACATAAAAAACAACAATACAAGTATATTTCTTTTGTATCACCAATTTACTTCTTTCTTTATGATTTTGAGAGATGGTCAAATATATCAAAATGTTACTTCTTTTCAATGTACCCATACTGGCTCCTTTTCACTTATAATTTCGTTGCTATAATGGTCAATTTGAAGGCAGCGCATGCGTATGTTACAGGATGTAGCTTGGGTTCCTGCTTGGTTTCAGAATCTTAGAGCAGATGGATCTTGTGAATATGTAAAGGAGTCCCAAATTCATTCCAATGAAAAAGTGAAGGTTGAAATTTTATTTTCCCGTTTTTGCTCCCTCTTTCATTTTTTTTTAAAAAATTTTTGGTGGATTTAAATGCAAGCTTTACCCTGGTTTCATAACTTGTTTCCACACAAGTAATCATTATTTTACTTTAACGTTGGTTACTTCCAATAGTGTTAGTAGCTTTTACTTGACCAAATGAATTCAAATCTCCTTAATTTAACATGGTATCGCATTTATCTTGATATGGAAAAATTTGGGGTCATTTGGGTTTTAGCAAATAGATTTCTATCAGCATTTCCATGGCATTGGAATAACCCCAAATAAATGCAAAAATCAAAGTTGTTAAACTTTGAGGCAGACTCACAAATTTACCTGTGAATATATGTACGCTCTAAACTCTTAGGGTCTAAAATGTAACCCTAAAGCCCAAGAACAATTGTGTCTTTAATTTAGTTTATGCTCAGATTACTTGTGCTGATTAGCCTGGGTGTCTCTTTTGTCTGAAAATTATCTAGGATCTGGCAATTTCTCAGGAAAATTTTGGTGAGGGCAAAGACATCAATGCACTATCAAGGGAAGAAGGTGGGTACAAGAGCTGTCATTTGTTCTTATCCGGAGAAGATAATTCTCCCACTAGTCCTGCTTCATCTCCAGGAAATGTAAGTTTTAGTTCTCTTGTTCTTTTATTTTATTCTTTTCTTGGGTACATGGGGTAATACTACTGATCTTGTGTTGGTGCATTCTTCTGACATTTTTGTCCGTGTATAATCCTCTGATGTCAATACAAAGGGGAGTTATCTTATTTATTTCTTTGTTAGTGAAGAGTGTTTAAATAAAGGAATTTATCAAATAATTTGCTTTCTGTTTATCTTCCTTAAACATTTTTTAACTGCTAATAACCGTTCTTTTATTGTTTATTCAGAAGAGTCACCTCATTTTAATTGTATATGAATTATTAATTGATACTCCTCCGGTCCTTATTATAAGACCCAATTTGACTTTTTATTTGGTCCTAATTATAAGACCCAATCCATTTTGTCTCTTATATTTATGTATTTTTTTCCAAGATAATCCTTCTAATAATGATAGTTTTAACCAATATACTTAATTAGTAAGGCTATTTTAGGAATGACAACACTTATTTATTATAAATAACCAACTTAACTTACTTCCTTAATCTCCTCAAATAAGTCAATTGGGTCTTATAATTAGGACCGGAGGAGTATAATAATAGATATCTGTACATGCATTTGCTACTTGCCTCAATTTGCTGGACATATCTAAGACTTTACTGTTGGAAGAAAGAAATTGCAGGGCTTCTAAACGCAGTCTTTGTAATATGTCTGATATTCATATTACGATGGAATCTAACCGCACCTACCTTAGGAAGATTATCCTCTTCTTTTAAATCGATTTATCATCTCCCAGCAGATGCATCTGTGCTCAGTGACCTAAACAAACTTATCTGGAAAAATTTAAGCTTATGAAATGAGTTAAAAAGGTCATATTTCCAGTAATTGGAAAATTGATCGTACTGTTATATGTTAAAGTTAAAATTCAACACTAAGGTTTGCTTCATCTGTAAATATTTCGCAGGAACAAGTATTACACTTTAGCCTGCGCCTTTCAGGTGTCGATCCACTGTTTTCTCCAACCCAGGGTTTGAATACATCTAATAATTTAGCTGCATCAAGTAAAGTTCTGTCAGTGCAACCAGTTAAAAATGCTGTTGATCTTGGAGAGAATCTGCATTCCATGATGGATGACTGCGCCTCCGAACAGAGTATTTTGCCTTGTTCCATTCCTGAAACAGTGAAAGTGGATGGTCCAAAATGTCCTGATAATGTTGATTCCGTTAGAAAACAGAAAGAAAAATCCAAGGTCACGAGCTTTAAAAATGCAGACATCAGTAATGCAGTTGAACTTTCTATTGCAGCGTCTGAGGCGTTGGTCATACATGAATTAGTAAAGATGAAACCAGTTTCAGAAACATATCCTGCTGAAGCTGTACTTGAAGTAGCCCTCCGTGTGAAGCAGGCTAGGCTTGAGGATTTGGAAGACGGCTTCCTTTCTTCAAACGAGGAATCTGATTGGAGTGATTCTCTTTCTGATTTGAATGATGTTAATATGGAAGATGCTTATGAAGATGTGGGGTTATCTTCTGGCATCTTCCCTGAGGAACGTCAGAGTTCAGCAACGTCTCAAGTCAAAGACATCTCTGATGCTGAAAAATATCATGGATGTGTTTATAAAATTAGAGAGCATATATCTCAATTTGTTAATTTAGATGATAATTTAGCAAAGAAATCATTAGAAGTCGATGCAGAGATCGATATGCAGCCAAAAGAAGACCCACCTGTACAGTCTCTATGTTGTGAGAGGGATAAGCATTCTGATAACCCTGGTTTGGGTCATATTTGTCATCATTTTTTACAGCATACTTCCAGTGTTTCTGCCCAAAACCAGGTAATTACGCATCCTAGTCTTTGGCTTTCTGGGCCATCACTCACTGAAAAAAATCAGATGTTTATTCTTTGAAAGTTCAACCTTATTACATGCCTTGTTTATCCATTGCATTGTACCAGTGACAAGTGAATTTGGAAAAAACTAAATGTTAACACGGAAACAAATACAGACTTGTTCTTCTTTCCCAATTGTAGTGGGTATCATCTCTCTGTTTCGCTTAGTAGTATGCACAGAATTATGCCACTGGTTTAGGGTCAACTTTTTTATCGTCTTTAATGTAAATAACTACTACCCGGATTCTCACTATTCAGGCAGTTGGTCCAGCTGATTCAGCTTCAAACAGACTCCAAAATAACGTCAAATATTCACTGGTTGGAAATACCAGTAAGTTTTAATTATTTTTTGACATTATCCTTTGATTTTGCTGTCTCTAGAATTTATGATCATATATTTTCTGTTGAGAAATTTTTCAGAAAACGGGATTTTGGCAAGTTACTTGATTCCAGACAGGTTTAAAAGCCGCTGGTTAGGTGGTTGGACAAGTGAGGTATGTCTTTCATTCATTGAATCCTTTCTATGAGTCTCACCAATTTGGTCTTTTATATATGAATCCTGTTGAAACAATCCCGGAGAGTCTGACTTACACCATTGATTCCTCCCCAAGCCTTCCTCCTCCTGACTGAAAAATAAGTTCGTTGGATCTAAAATTTGATATTCCCTTTTGGAATTTATAGTTTTTCTACTATTAGTAGCTCGCGCAATGGTGCGATGAAAGCTAACTATTTTAGTGAACGTAAGGTTTTGGCATGCCATTGTGGTAGATCAATGTTGGATATGTTGACTAAACCAAAAATTCATGTGGCTAAAAGGGAAACAAAATTCCGATGGAAGCAGTGGTTTGTTATAGTTTGTATTTTATTGTTGATATGAAGGGTCTGAATTTTAGGGAAAAATGGTAACTCCTAGGACTTTGTTCTACGAGGAACTCGCTACTAACAATTTTGGAGAACTGTTCCAGGAAAATACATTATTTTTTTGTCTTACAGTGTGTCATAAATCATTATTCACCATCGAATTGCAAGGATGCCAAGCTGTTTAGGATTTCAAGGGATACCAACTTGCCTATTCCATTTTTCTGAATGCCTAAGTCCTTATTCCACTATTTCCTAATCAGATGCTCTAGCCTCATGGAAATGCTAGGTTTTCATGTTCAACCCATTCTATGTCTTGCAGGAGGTTAAATTGTAATAATGATGGATGGCAGTTTGTATCATCATTTTCTTTCATTTATCAACAGTCTGCTCAATTGGTTGTTTTAACTTGATGTACACTATCACTGTACTTTAGACTGAAATATATGCTTTTAGACTTTGGGTTAGTTCTTCAATATTTTAAAATTTCTAATGTGTCTCTAGCACATGCGTATGCTAATATGGATTTAGCATCTTGATACCGTTATTATTCTTGATGGCTTTTGTTTTGTCTTTCACCTATTTGGAAGGAATTGGATTCATTCCTATGCAACCAGAAAAATGCAGAACGTAATTCTAAGTTTTTCATCAGAGAGACAAGTTTTCTTTCAGAATCTGCTGGTGATGTTCCGGATGAGAATTCTTGTGTGCAAAAACATGACTTTAAGGGTGGAATTGGTTCTCAGTCAAGCATACCTTATGAGACCTTGCACAGAGCTGATGAGGGCATATTGCATTCTCAAAATGAGGCCCAATGCTCTAATCTGTCACTGGATGACCCTCTTTGTTCAGTTGTTCCTTGTAGCATTCCTTCAGAACTGATCAATTCCAAACCTCAGAGACAGGATATTGATAATGATTTAAATGTCTCCCCCATTCCTGAACTTGAAGTTGACAATTTTCAGAGGACCTCAGATCATAATGTGGCATCAGAGGATAGAGATGAGCAAATAATGTCTTCACCAGATGGAGAAGATATTCCAGCCACTATCAGAAACAAGGTTCAACAAACGCCTCAGATGTTGACTAGTGTTGCTCAAACTTGTCGGAAACAGTTGAGGTCTCTTAAGACTTATAGCATGATTATCCCTAACCAATCTCTTTTCCGAAAATGCAACCAGGCACTACTTTCAACTAATCAGGGGAATGGTATTGCTGCCCTCTCAGATAAAAGGAGTTCGAAGGGTCTCTTTGCATCCAATTTCCCGGACGGAAGCAAAACGATGCAAAATCATGATATCTTTGATAATCACAAGTCAAATACAGAAATGAGATACGGGAAGAGAATCGATGATTTAAAAGAAGCAGATGAGAGTGGCATTCCAGCGGAATCATCTGAAGAGAGGGCAGCAACTCCAATTCTAAATGATAGGATAGAACAATCCTTGCTGGGTCCAGAGATTGTTGGGAATGAAATCGATGTGGAGAAACATAGAAACAAGCACTTACCACCGAAATCTTTCGTCCAGCATCAACAGAACAACATTAACAAGTTACAAGCTGACTGCAATGAATTCCATGGTGGACATGTCGGAGTCAAAAAGCATGTACGTTTTTCAGGGGAAGAGGAGCGGCTTCATCTGAAAAGGACTCTCTCGAAGTTTGAATCTTCATATAATAAAAGTAAACACTATTTTGTATTGACTGTGTGACTTATCTTTGTGTTCTACAAAATGGGTGTGTGAGATTACTTAATTTTGCGCTCCAATAATGTAGGTTCGTCTGTCAGAGCAAAAAGAAGAAAAGCTTCCAAGTCATTGGCAAATTTTGTGCCCCATGTGAAACATTCTCTAACAAATTATTGCAGAAAGGTAAGGACGAAATATATATTTCTAGGCACAGAATTCCTTCTCACTGGATTATCTAGTCAGAAGGAAAGAGACATGGAAGCACTTATAAGAAATTCTGGCGGGGTGGTTCTTTCTGACATTCCCTCTCCTCCAATTTCGAGGAGAAAGAGAAGTTCTACATCCTCTCGCCAACAACTTCCTGTTATTCTTTGCATGAGAAAGGTTTGTTTTCAATCATCAATTAATGTTTTGGCTATCTTCGTTAATATTTTAATAGCTCCACAATTATCAAAGATTATTCCCAAATTCTCCTGTAGGACTAGACATAATTTGGTGTCTTGTTCTGAAATTTCTGAGAATTTCCAACAAGAAAATGTAGAATCGTCTGTTGTCTATAGTAAAAAGTCTTTCCTTGACGCCGTATATTTACAGATTTGCATTGGGTGCTCATCAGATCTGAACTGTCCAGATTTGATCTGAACAGTCCAGATTTAATTTTAATTTTATTTTTATTTTTTTAAAATAATTATTTTAATAGGTACAAGATAAAAAATGAAGATAATCTCTTAATTATCATTATTTAAAAATATAATTTTTTGTATTTTAAATAATTATTTAAAAATATTAAATCTGGACTGTCTAGATTAGATCTGGACAGCCCAGATTGCTCATCAGGTGATGAGCATCGGGTGCTCATCACCTGATGAGCACTGAATGCAGACGCGTTTACAATGGCTTTATGTCTGAGCTCCCATGTTATGTTGTTTTATTGTAGTTTTTAGTTGTGATCTTGTAATGTCGTTTTGATACTTTTTTTTTTTGGGGCTCTTTTGACCTTGTAATGCTTTCAGCTATTCCCTTGCATCACACCCAATGAAACAGGCATGAAATCATAGATATGAACAAGAAGAAAACTATTTTAAGAGGACCTAAGAGGCAAGAGTAAAGAGTTATAATTATTGCTTTTTCGCCTCCTCTACTATATAATGTTGTCCCTTTTACTTGTCTCAGCTACAAACCGCCAAATTCTTGTATGGATGTGCCGTTGGAGCCTTGATACTTAAAGTTGATTGGCTAACTGATTGTATTGCTGCTGGAACTATTGTAGAGCCTAAGAAGTAAGTTACGTTTTCCCCTAGTTCTGCTTCGGAAATCTGCGAACTATTGTCTGTTTTTTTTTCCCTCCCCACTTTCGCCTTTTTTTGGGGGTAGCGTTGGGGGATATTGATTACTAAACCTCATTGTAAATCTATATTCAGTGTTAGCTTTGACGGCTTAGATTCTGATTTTTTTTTTTACTTCAATATTCCTAATACCAGAAGATTCTCACATTTGTAAATCTTGATGGAACTGAAATAGAATTCGAAGAATGGCAGTCCTTTCCACCCATTATCAAGTTTGGCATTTCTTCCCAATTTAAGATGTGAGGCAAGCTTTCAATGTGGGAATAATATAAATTTGTCCTGAAGTGACAGAAATAATGTAATTCCCATGAGAATTTTAAATTTTCCATGGACAACAGAAGATTCACAGACCCAACTGCAGCTCCTGGTGGACAACAAAACTCCAACACCACCTTATCATATAGAATGTGATTGATATTTTCTGATTTTTAGGGTTAAAACTCCAGAATGAAATTGTGGTTTAAATGGATTAACAGTTCTTTCATGCCACATGTGCTGAGTTATCTTTTCCTTTTCGGTGGATTTTTCCCCAATGCTTGGCAAGTTGACAAAATTCTCCCAGTCAGTGTACACATTTGATCTGAATCTCCTATCTTAATGATCACATCCAATTAATTGCTTTTAATTTATCTGCGTTAGATACATGATTCTTCATAACCGGAATGACATGAAGTTGACCATAACAAGAAGGCTAGTTCGTCATAATAACCTAAAGCCGATTTTTGAGGGAGTAGGGTTCATGCTACATGGCAAGCATAATTTCTGCACAAAATTGGCGAGTATTACCAAGGTAATGGTCTTTTATTCCCCCCCCCCCCCCCCCAAAAAAAAAAAAAAAAACCCACGGCCTTAGAGTTGGAGACCTGAATAACTTGACAGCACCGCTATTTTTGCCTTGGCAGTCTTTTCCCTTTTTTTTTTTTGGGTTGAACTCAACTATATGCTCTTTGATTTTTTTTTTTTTTTTAGTAATCTTGTTATTTTACTATTCCTTTTCTAAAATATGTGTCATGTCCAGCGCCTCCGCATGGGGAAGGGATTCTAGCTAAATCCAATATGAAACCATAAAATCAAATTTCGGTTTCTTTCTGCTATCATTCCACCTGATGTAGGGCGCTTAATGATAACTGATGTCCGATTGATACCTCTGAAATCATACTAAATTCCTTGAATTACTCTAGTTGCTGAGATACACAGTTATTGCTTTACCACTAGCATCATGTCCGTCTTCTAGCTGGCTAGTTTTATAACTTGCGACTGCGAGTTAGCCGCACACCACTATATTTTGTTGCATGTTAAGATGCTACCATGGCCATCGTCTAGTTAGCTAGCTGTACAAAAATGTCCATCCTTTACATTCTTGCATATTAATTAATACCTCCTCTTTTTTTTAAAAAAAAAAAAAAATCTTTTCATTTGCTGCCCAGCATGGAGGCGGACAGGTATTCAAAACCCTTCAGTGGTTAGTTAGGAGTATTGATGAAGGAAGGATTTCTGCGGGAGCTATTATTGCCGAAGATAAACCTTCTATATCTCGTCACTTGAAATCATGTGCCTTGGAGAAGGGGATTCCTATTGTGGTAAGAAATTAAGAATATAATTTGGTTTTTATGCTCTCTTCAATACTGACTCGGAATTTTATAGTTTTCAGTACCCGACTTGAGTGATGTTGTGTGAGAGATTAGAGGAGAAAGTGATCACTCTTATATCATAAATAAATGGTCAAGAATAATGAAAAATCGTCACCAATTTGTAATGAACGTCTTTAACTTCCCCATTAGTGGCCTTTGCATTAATGTTGACCATGGATTTGTGATCTTGTGGTGATTAACTGTTTATTTCTTCCATTCACCTTTTACAAAGATCACTTCTCTCGCTTGATCTTTATATATAAATGGACAGATCAATTGACACTCATGTAAAATTGAACATTTTTATACTTCTCACTATTTTATCATTGGTGGTAATTTCATTGTTCCTGTAAGATCTAGCATGCTAAGTTTTTTTTAATTAAAAAATGAATAACTATAAGTAATCAAATAATTGGTAGTATCCAGCCAAAAAGAAAAAGCTGATAGTTAAAAGAAGTTCATAATGCGTTATTTTTCTGTTATCAGTACCAATATAATATATATGTAGATTTTTGTAAACAAAGACTTAGTCACAAGACTCATGACATTTAATCTTAGCGGGGATTTAGTGAAAACCCATCCTCTACGAATTTGTTATTGCTTCAGTGTCAAGTGATCCCTCCCCTTCTACCCGCCCCCCTCTCCTATGCATCTGAAAAGAACTCTCGGAGTTTGGATACTTGTAGGCATACATGCATGTGAACCTAACTTGATTTCCTTTGCAGCCTTTAAGTTGGATCATTAAGAGCTTATATTCAGGGGAGCTGCTTCCTTTCACAGAAGAAAATCGTCCATCTCTATTTCCAATAACTAATGTCCTAGAAGTTCCAGATTCTATGGACATGAGTGAAGAAATATAATATTGTTTCTGCAGCAGCAATTTACTAGGTAGCATTTTTTAACCTAATGATGACTATGTTAAACCATGGTTTGGTGCATACAAACTTTACATTTTACTATATGCTTTCTTTTCTTTTTCTTTTTTTTTTTTTTTTGGAAATTGTGGCAGGATCGTGAGATATGAAATTAGTGGTGATGGTTGAGTACACTTCAAAGTGGTTGCTTTAGTTGACATATCCATCAACAGGTGTTACATCAAAGTGGAAAGGGCCGTAGCTCTCAAGCACCCAACTCGGCTCAAATCTGAATTAGCTGGAATCCAATGTGGCTCCAAATACCAAATTCTGTCACCAGGAAGAGGGAAGGAGAAGGTGCATCCAAGTAGGACCTCATCCTTTGCAAGTCACACTGATGCCTTACCCTTTCTCTTCACATTTTTATCCATGTCAGTGGTTTTTACCCTGTGTTGTTCTTTTCAAGGGTCCAATACTAATCTATGGAAGGGCTCTGCTTCAAGTTCTTAAACTTCTAAAGGATTTGCTCTCCCTTTCGTGAAAGCACTGGATTCACAAGCTAAAAGAGTTCTGCTCTATTAATTTTGAGCAACAGGCAACCCTAGCAATTTCATCAATGCGAACCAACTGGGTATAAGTGCAAAAAAATTCCTGCATCGAAATATGGAATTGGACCTACATGGTAATCTTTAACAATTCCATCTACCCCTTTAATTGGCTCAAAGTACTTTTGGTGGCAATGTAGCCTTCCAACTACCTTATAACGTTGATTTGATGACTATAAACTTAAATATCATTCTTGCAGTAAAAACTTGGAGAGTCAATGGATAGCACAGATGGATTCTCAGTCCAGGTATGGGTTGATCCTACTGTTTTGGCCTTCTCATCGGCCTTTTTCAATTGTTAGCGAAGAGAAAGAGTGCTGATTTTTTTTTTCCCCAGCTTGAGTTTAATTTCTTTGAGGAGCATCATGAATTAAAAATATTATATGGCATCAAATCAACATGTGCGGATATCTTTCAATTTGTTCAAGAAGAGCTGAGGTCCTGATGATCATATCATTGGAGTGTTTGGATACCCTGGAAAGTATTTCTCAAAAACACTTTTTCGTAAATTGAAATAAACTCCTCTATATATTTACCTCGCAGACTGTAAAATCACTTCTAAAATCATAGTTTGATTTCTATCTAAATACCCCTCGTACTACATTAAACAGAGGTGCTTCTTATTCAGTGTTCATTGTTGTCGTAGCTATTTTATTTTAGTAACTTTTTCATGAGTCATTATAATGTTGATAACAGTTGTGAAGAAGAAAGATTCATAGGATATTGGAAGTCTGATGAAAACGGATAATCTTATTTTAAGAAAAGAAAAATGAATACACACATAGTGCGCTTAAAAAGAAAAAGGTATTTGTCGGCCACCAAATCATGTATTCATGGGATCCATCATTTCAAGCATCCAATGCATTAAAATATGATGCCCATTTTGCAAATTTTTTTCATGTCAAACGTGATAGATAATCTATCACCTGGATGAATCAAAGGTATGGCACGCATTCTATTTTGATGTGATTTATCTAAACTTCTTTATTGATATGTTGATCTAAAGTTGGCATAAAAATGGAAAGAATCCACTAACTAATTTAGAAGGCTGTCGAGTCACGCAACCAAAATTTGGCAGAATCTAATAGGCTGTATGTGGTCTACTATTTAGAACCCAATTATTTGTTGGGGAAAATGACACAACGGGGCCAAATAAAATGACTCTTCGTTCAGTGCTCTCAAATTTGGAAATATCAATATTACATTTCATGAAGGGGAAAAAACAGAAAGAATTACTATGAGGTGATGAAGAAGGAATGTGATCACCAAAAATTTTCAATAATAAATTAATATCAATTTTTTGCATGTTACTCAATTGTTATTTATTATTAGTGAACACTAACAAATATGAAATAATTCCTCCGAAAGTTGTTCATAAATCTCAAGTAAGAAATTTCTAATTTTGATTATGAAATACAATTTTGCATGTGAAATTTCTGACTGAATAGGGAAATTTTGGCTTTTTTTTTTGGGGGGGGGCTGAAGTCCTGAGTTGATATTTTCAAAAAGAATTTTAGAGCACGAAATTGCAATAATTCGTCTTATTTATTGGTCAGAAAGTGTGATTTTCCCTGTTATCCAAATCTGTCTATTTAAGGCTTGTTTTAAATGGTGGTGTGAGCATTTGAAAATAACTTGTTACTGATAATTTACGAAATACGATATAAACATGTCATAAGAGTTTTTTTTTTTTATTCGCGTGTAAAGGGACTTAAAATAAACTTATCCAAAAGAGCCTCTAATATATGGAGACATCTATTCAACCAATGGGAGAGTAAAGAACGTTGACCAAAAACGAAAATGTGAGAAGCGCGGCTCTCTATTAACTATCAGCTCTCAATATATCCAACGACCCTGAATGACCGCTCTCTGTCTTCTGATCCAAATATGACGCATCCGGCTAATTTTGCAATGTGAAATTCATACACAATTGACAAGCGAGTCAAATTAATTTTTTATAGTTTAAAGTAATTTAAATAACTTCTTTAACCTTTTCAAATTAGTTAATTAAATCTTGTATTAAAGATTGAAGGTAGTACTTTTTTAAAAGAATTTTAGATCACAAAATTGCAATTTTTTTGGTGTAAATTCAGAGTCTTTCCAAGTTATTTTGAAATTGAAACTAATTTCTGTTAGACTAAAAAGATTAAAATTAAAGCCATATCAACAAGCAATATGTAGGCTTCCGGATATTTGAACCTGTATTGTTCTCTTTATATGTGAAAGTACTTAACATCTCAATCAACAGTTTATTAATAGAGCATGAAATTGCAATTATTTGTGTCAAGTGTGATTTTCCCTTCTCAGTTTTTGATCCAAATCTGTCTATCTAATATCTAGAGGCATTAAATTCAACCAATGGAGCGTGAAGAATGTTACTCAGGGTCCGTTTGAATTAGCGATTGGAAAAGTAGTTTATTGAAAAAATAGCTTATAGAAAAGTGAAGTTAGGTAAAAGCTAAATTGAATAAGCTGAATTGTGTTTGGATTGGAGTTCAGAAAAGCTAGTTTGCAAAAATGATATTGGTAAAAGGTTGTTTAGATTATGGTTGAATAAAAGTAAATTTAGTTGTAAAATGACCAAAATAAATATGAATTTTAATAAATAATGAAACATTATTAAAAAAAATATTTCACATAATACAATAAAATTAAAATAATTTAATATGAAAAATTCAAATTTATAGAGTGAATTAAATTTTAACACCTTAGAGAAATCATAAAAAATATCTTAAATATAAAGTGAAACATGAAAAAAAAAACTAAATTGAGATAATATAATAAAGAAGTGAAAATCTCTTTTTAAATCATGTGACCTAAGTAGGAGTTTGATAAATTTAATAATTAAAATCAAAATTTGAGTTATTTAAATGTCCAAAAGAGATTTTTCTAAAAAAAAAAAAGTTAATTAACTATCAACTCTCAATAAATCCAAGCTCCCTGAATAACCACTCTGTCTTCCGTTTTTTTTTTTTTTTTGACCGGAGAACTCTGTCTTCCGTTCAAATCTTACGTACCTAGCTAATGGCTAAACAGATAATATGTACTCTTCCTTCCACAGTATGAAGCGATTCTGAAAGAAGTTACCTTTAATAGTTTATAATGCAATTTTGTTTTAAAAATATTTTTTCACAAGCAATTTTAATTTCACTATTAATTCCCACAAAGTCCTTAGGTGAATATACAGCCAATATCTCTGGTCCAAAAAAAAAAAATATACAGCCAATATCCTAAATTATTTTTTTAGTAGCACTCAATAACCTAAAATAATTTTTAAAGTGACTTTACCATTAAAATATTAAAAGTAATTAAAGATTAAGGTTGAAAATATAAAAGATAAGTACCAGAAATATTTAAGATAATTACTGAAATATTAGAAAGATTTTACTTAGTACTAAAAATAACTAAAGATTAGAGTTTTTATCAACAAGAGGATTGTGGTTGAAAATTACTGGGAAAATTAAAAACTAATTATTGAAAATATTCTACATGGGTACAAAAAATACCAAAAATAAATACCTTAAATATCAACAATAGTGATATACGTAGTAGTATATATTTATTATAAATAAATAATTTAAGTAATATTTTTAATATCATCAAATTAGTTATATAATTTTTATGTTAAGAATAAAAGCTGGTACACCCTCCTTCCCTTTTTATAAGAAATAACATTTTTATCTTGTCTCTAAATTTTCAAACCTTATGAAATTACCTAAATGCGCTTCATTATTTTTTTTTAAATTATTGCCACATCAATGCTCTAAACCAGTTTTTGATGGCCAAACTCGGGTGATCAGTCGTCAGAGCTTGACTATTTTTTTTAGTTATTGATTACATTTGTTTTTAGAACTTTGATAATTACTCTTGTTTAGTTGTTGACTATTCTAGTATTGTGATTATTTATTTTTATTTTTTAAATTTTGGTCACTATTCTTGTTTAAATATTGATTACTCTAATTTCGTTATTGATTATTTTTATTTTAAAAATTCAAAAAAATACATTAAATGTTGTTAGAGATCGAATGACTATGTTTAGTTATTTATTATTCTTGTCTAATCAATAGTTATATAAAAGTAGTCATCAGAATTTTAAAAATAAAAATAATCATTCATAAAACTAGAATAATTAATAGCTATATGAAATAAAAACAGTTATCTAAGAAAAAAGATAATATTGTTATTTTATAATATTTTAAAATAATATAAAAAGTCTGATTTGATATTTTAAAATTCATCCACCTTAATTTGTTTTATACTCATTTGTACGGTATTTTAAGTTTTTTTTTCTCCTTAGAATTTATTACATGCTGTCATGCGGATCAAGAAAAGCCAAAATGTCCTTCCTGTCGGCGCCCGTGCTTAACGAAACGTTGTCTGCTTCTTGTTGTGGGTAGCGCTGCGCAGAGTCCGCGGCTGCGTCCACGGCGTGCTCACCGACACGTCGTCTAAAGCCAGCCGACGACATCTATCCTTTTTTGGTTTTTGGAAAAATAATTGTAAAAAAAATTAAAAATTACTAAATTTTAAATCAGCTTTAATAACAATACTTGATAATACTGAATTTGTAAATAACATTTTGTTGACATTCCAACACTTAGCAATATCTAACTTTTTTTTTTGTTATTTTCCTTCTTTTTTTTTCAATTTCATGAATCTCTCCCTTTATTTTTATTTTTTTAGAGAATTTCACATCTACTGCTGAGTTAAAGAATGGAGCGCCCAAATTTAATATTTTAAAAAAGAAATGTTGACTTTCTTTTTTCTATTTATGTATCATGATAGTCCTCCAGTGCTAAATATAAAAGTTATTTTGTAACATAATATACAATATAAAATATATCTTATATTTAGAATCAAAGGAGTAATAATTTTTGAAAATATTAAATCTAAATCATTTTTTTATCCCATAGTAAAGATGGGATTATGATGAGAAAAGAAAATCAGGGATTTTGAGAGGATCTCCTTCTCTCCCTACCATTCTCGAGGCTTCATGGGGTTCTATTTATGGCAAAAAAGATGTCAAAAGCTTACACTCTTACTTATTACTAAATATAAGAAAAATATATGACACTATTTTTTATCATAAATACAAAACTTAGTTATGAGTTTAATTTAATTATCAATATAATATATCAATCCCTTTTATTTTTCAAATTTATAATACTTTTTTCTCTAAAATATCCTTATTAATTGTAAAAGGTTTCTGGCAAGAAATTATTCAAATAGACATGATTTAAAAAAATAATTTAGAAAAATTAACGCACATTTGTCATAAATAATCAATTTAACTAATTTTTTTAATCTTTTTAAATCAGTTATCTAATTATTATATTAAAGAGCAAAAGTAATAATTAATTTTTGCCCATTCCATTGTCTTTGGGCCTTACTCTTCAATAATTTTAACAAATTCCCAGCATGCTTTTG